CCGGCCAATGGGAAGGCGCGGGGGGCCGCGCCCCGGCCAATCGCGGGAGGCGGCCGCAGCCAATGGCGCGCGGGCGGGGGGTCCCCGCCGGAGGGGCGCTGCGGCAGGGCGGGGGTGCGCGTGCGCGGAGCGCCCCCCGTGCCCCCACAATCAGCGCGTGGCGCTGGCGCGGCGGGAATCGGCCCGGCCCCGCTCCCCCTCACGGCCGCCGCCGGGCATCGCTCCTCCTCCACATCCCAGCGCCGCTCCCCCGTCACGCCGTGGCAACTCCAGAACACTGCGGTGCCTCCAGGCGTGGCACTGGATGGCCCCTGCAACCACCGCACCCGCTGTCGGTGTCTGCATTGTGACCGCACAGCACTGCACCGTCCCCCGGCTGAGGCACCTCAGCTCCTGCCCGGCCGCTGCGCCCCGCAGTGACACGACCTCCCTCCGCCCGCCCTCCAGGCTCTGCTTTGGGTACGCTGCGTCTCCTCAGGTGTTCTGCCCGAGCGCCGAGCACTGCTCCGATGGCCTCTCCGCCCAGCCCTGCTCTACAGAGCCAAGCTGCTGCCACAGCCCAGGGCAACGCAACCCTGTGGTGCTTCCGTCACTGCCCCACGCAGTGCCTATCGCTGCTGAACMGTCCAGCCACTGCCTTTACACCATCCTCCGGCTTCTGCACACCCACAAAGTCCTGCCCACTCCCTGACGACTCTGGGCCACCTCCCCGGTGTGGCGCAGCCTCCACCACTGGACCATACCAGGSTGCACGGACCCTGCCAGCTGCCCTTCCACTGCATAGCACAGCTCACACCATGATAAAGGGAAATTATTCRTCATGAGAGGAAAAGTTATCCGAAAGGAAAGAAACTGTAAGAAATAAACATGCAYCTTCAGTGACTTGCCCAGTGACCTTCCATGAGTCACTGATAACAGAAGGAAAAGAAAGTGATTTTAAGGGAATCTAAGCAAGATCATGTCCAGTGTGATGGCAGCTCCCACCGAGGTGAGCCCAGGTGCTGATATTGAACAGCAGATACTACCGTGAACAGAACAGAGCTGGCTGAGCACTGCCCAAGCCTGCTCCCTGGCAGCTTACAAAAGGCAGAGCTCCTGCAGGTCACAGGGAGAGCTGGTGGGACTAATGCAGCCACASTTTCACAGCCAGAAACCCCACTTTGTGCTCCACAAAAAAGAAATCAGTGTGAGCTGGCTGCAAGTGGGGCAGCCCCGCAGCCAGGCTTCCAGAGCTGCCACGCTTCTCTGCAGAGACACATGTCACACTGATACGCCATTAAGTTTTTTGGACACCAACAACAACTTCTAGATAGAGCACAGGAGACCAACAGACTCATGCAAGCACCCAAATACCACTGGCAATATCCCCCTGAGCAGGGATGTGGAGAGGGGACATGACCACATCCATTCAGCTCTGTTCATCTGTAGGTCTGCCCCCTCAGCTGCTGCCCCACCAACCCCCAGCTCGTAGGGCTGACCTGCTCAGGATGCCCATTGCTCTCACCCGTCTGAGGCAGCTCCCTTCCCTCTAGCTTCATGGTGAGCTGGCAGCCAGAGCTGGCCCAGGCAGCCTCCTCCAATGGCCCTGGCTCTGCTGCCAGGCTGATTTCTTCCAGCAACCCCACTGACTCCTGTGCCACATCATGTCTGGCTGGTGCCCAGATTTACTCTGCAAACACCTTCTTTATGCCTGCTCCTCTCTTTCCCTCTTCATCCCTACATCTGCGTAAGCTGCGTCTCTTCTCCCTGCCTCAAACGCCCTTGTCCCGTGACACAGAGCAGCTACGCTGCCTGCTGCCACTGCGCCACATCTGCTCCAGCTGTCCCCAAGCCTCACCTAAGCCGCCCCAACTGTACCGCGTTTGAACCCTGTGGTGCGCGGGCASAGCAGGTGATCTGATTTCAGGGATGAGATAAGCGGGGACCTACAGCATGAAGCCAGATAGCRACAAGGCTGGAGCTTGCTCCTGAGCCCGCGTTTGTCACTCGGGAAACTCTACCCCCATTATCAGGTGTCAGTGTGCTGGAAAGAGCCCAGGATGAAGTCACCCTTCTTGCCAGTCTGGAAAAAACTCAGAAGGTGAGTGCTGTGTAGCTTGGAAAATCAGGTACCAGTGCCTGGCAGCTGTCTGATGGCCATGAGATGAATTAAGGCAATGATTAGTGAAGTGATTTGGTTCAAGTAGCAGGACTTTAGTCTGAACATGTTCCTACTTAGCTTACACATTTCATTTGCAGGCAGATGTCAAGCTGGATGTTGCTAGGAGATAGACAGCAGGGGAATAATTAAGTCTGATTAAATYCTATCATATTGCTGTGCTGCTTTCCAGAATGCTCTGGAGTTTTTCAAAGCCAAACTGACCAAATGATTGGGCAAAAGGTGCTGTCCATCCTGCTCAACAAAACCCACTCAYGGCAAACCTGCTGAGCATGTATCTACCCACATGTCTGCTGGGCATTTCCTGCAGGAGCACTGGCCCTGATCTAGGGAAATATGGCTCTGGTAGATGGCACAGCTGGTTGCTGCAATGGCAGGTAGTGCAAGACAGTTGGGGCTGGTCACTGCTTGAAGCAGGCAGTGAGGGGTCTTACTCCTGTGTCTGTGCATCAGTGCTGCYGGGACACTCATGTTGGACTAAGCATGACTTGGACACACCAGTGTGACCATAAGCAAAGATWCCTTCTGCCCTTTTTTGGGAAGAAGCCCACCTAGGGCACGCCAAAATTGCTCTGCACATTCCCCTCATGCATGATGCCGAGTGCCTCAAGGCTGACACCTGTCTGCTTTCTTTTCTTTCATGGTGGCTGAGCCACACACKGTATGGGAAGACTCATAAATAACAGCTACAGGTTCTTTTCCCACCAGTAAATAAAATTATGCTGTTACTATCTGCATATACACACATATATCAACCTCCAGGCTTCCTTCATAGAGACTTCTAATCTCATTTTGTTTCTTTACCCTATTAAAATTACCATTCTAATGCTCACATKGTAATCCTTCTCCCCAAATTAAGTGTCATCAAATCAGACTTGCTACTAATTAATGCAATATTTTATGATTAATTAAACACCACTATATACCACATCAATGGCTAGACAGAGATTACCTCTGCTGATGCACAGGCTGGAGGAATGCAATCTGGGCTGTAATACACTTGTAGTTTGTCTTATCTCTCTGACCAAACTTGTTTCATCTCACACACTCATTATGTATTATTCCTAAATGCAGAGTCTGCACATGATCAGACTGTGGAGAGCACTTTACATTTCTGGTGCTCTAGCTACTCTAAGAACAGAAATATCAAACAGCATCAGCACCAGGTCCACATAAGTTAAAACAATCTGAATTTGGCTCAAAAATTCTGCTGCCCTCCAGATGTTTTCAACAGCAAAGAATCACACGTACCACTTAGGGTGCAGGTAAACAGCTGGAAGTTGCCCGATCGGCTCCCCAAACGCTCTGCCTGACTGGACCAGGTTTCCCAGCGTCTTCCTCAGATGAAGTGACCCAATGCTCCTGTSTGGCAGGTGGCTGTGTGACTGCAAGCACCTGGCCGGCACCCTGCTCAGTAGTTCATCTCCTTGCAGTAATTCCAATACTCTATGTTTGGTTCACTCATAGATTCCAAAGAGGAGGTAGGCTTGAATTGAAGACAAGCGTTGGAGACTCCCACTTTTCTGGGTTTGTTTCAGGAGTCCCTCACTCTCACGTTCAGAAGAGCATCCCACCTCCCTGTGTCTGGCTTCAGCTTGCAGACATACCATTTTKTTCTGCCTTCTGCTTGATTAAAGAGCCTTTCAGAGCCTGGCATTTTCTCTTTGTGACACTACACATATGCTGCAAGCAAACCCCCTCTCATCCATCTTTCTGAAAAGCTAAATATACCGAGTCGCTTAGTTCTCTTTCTGCCAGGCTTTTCCTCCCACCCTTGAGCAATTTTTGTGTTTCTGCTCTATAGAGCATCTCTGATTTTCCTGAATCCTTTTCAAGATGTAGAATCCCACAATGAGCCTCCCTAATGCTTTGAYACAGGGATTTAATCTGCTTTTTCCTATTTTCTCTCTTAAAGGGCTGCATTTTCTACCCTAGCATCAGGATAAGCATTCAGGCAGGATTGTCCCAAATCTTTTCCAAACCCCCTGCTGGCAGGTTAGAACCACCTGTATCTCAGCTGCACATTCAGGAACTGATGAATGGAGTTTAGTAGTCAGGGATATTTCCACTCCCACACATCTCCCTCACTTGCTCTCTATCCTAGAATCATGGATGTCACAGTTGCCACATTTGGGAAGAGCTTAGGGAGCTGAGCTTAGCAGGCCTGAGGAAGGTTTGCTGAGCCCTGTGAGCTCTCCAGGAGCAGATGTCCCGCTCCCAGTAGGTTACTGTGCCGTGAAAGAGAGGAGAGCGCAGTGCATCCAGGCTGTTTTGAGTGCCTGGGAAGTATTTTGCAATGCCTTAATATTTTACCCAACTTATTATTCAGTGACAGCAGTCCCTGTGGAATCTGTGGTAACTGACCACTTACCAGGCTGCACATGATGAACACTTCCTCTTAAAAATAATAGGCTAAATGAAGATTACATCTTTAATTTAACTCCTTAAGAAACCAGCTAAAATAATATCCCACCAAGCAGCCTTCCCAGTAAAGCTTACCTGAGATCTGGGAGTGAAATAGRAAATCTTGCTCAGTCCATGTGCCATCACTAGTTCTCACAGTGCATTTCTTCATGCCAGTGCTGCAGGAACCTTGAATGAGCCCAGCTCCAGCTGTGGCCATGCTGCCTCTTCAAAGCCTGGAGTGCTGTCCTTGAGTCTCTGAGATGAYTGCTGAATAAATCTGAATTTCAGAGACTGTTAGATCTGTGATAGCCATAGGCCTCATTGGGTTCATCTTGAGCCCTCCAGCCAGGCATTGCCCTGTCCCTTTTCACACCATAAAAATAGCTGGAAGAGTCAGGCAGGGCAGGCAGGTACCGTCCAGCCACTGCCACCTCTCAAACAGGAGTGGCAGGAGGGACTCCATCTCACATGCTGTTACAGAGAGGAGGGAATTTGGCAAAGCAGTGGCACAAGGAGAGGCTGCAGCTCTCCAGACCAGTCAGACTCATGCCACAGGTCCAAGTAATTTGCAAACATTTTGATGATGTAATCACAGATTCTCCTAAACACATGTATTAGTTTTTATGAACTGTCAGCTGATGGAGGCCAGCATAATCTAAAGGGTCAAAGCAATGGGCAGAGAAATGGCAGAGAACCCCGTGACAGATTGCCACTGGGTAAGTGAAAGCAGAGCTAAGGGCATCTTGAGGCTGTTACAGAGCACAGACCTGGCAGGGAAACTCCTCCCTGGGCAAAAGGAAAGTTCTGGCTGCTGAGAGCAGGAACATCTATAGAGAACACTTTGCCTTCTTCACTGCTCTCAATGATGCTGTAGGACTTTAATTAAAAGTATATTATAAAATATTAATAAGACTCAAATAGATTAACAACAACACGTATTAACAGCTGTCAGTGAGCCAAGCCTTAACAGGGTGACAACAATGGGAGCCATACTTATACCCCCAGTGACTCCTGGTCCAGATCATCTGGATGACAAGATGAGGGCTTACTTTTGGGGCTGATAAAACACTGAACAGGCTGCTTGCTGCTACAGCATGAGCTGAATGGCCTGGGAAAATGGTCACAACCTACAGCACAGGGATGAGCTGCAAAGGAAAGTTCTTGGGAATGGAGCAGACAGACTGTACTGCAGGGTGCAGGATCTTCCTAGAAGCAGGGGTGGGATGCTGAATTAAGGGGAAAAAAGCTGAAAAAGAGCTGTCTCCACACATGACTGCTGCTATGAGCCTGCAGCACCGCACCTTGGCTCTGAGAGCCATGATTCAGAGGAGCATGGAGGAGATTTCCAAGCAGAGCTACAGATCTGGATGTCTGTTCCAGTTCTCCAAACTTCAGAACAGGCACAGAAATCCCAAGGAGCAGCAACACCACCACAAAARAAGGAGCTAAGGGTTGGAAATGTGGCAAATAAGACTGCATAGGTTGTGAGGAGTACAGGCTACTTCACTGTCCCGGAGAGGATCTCCTCACTGCCAGAGGGAACAGAGCACTGGTACGGGCAGAAGAAAGGGCAGGAGCCAAAAGTGAAAAGCTGAAGATGGGAAAAAAATCAAGCCTGAAATTAAGTTGACCTGACAGCATGGTCACTGAAGGCTGCAGAGGCAGCCATCCACATCATGCAGCAGCTTGCAAAGTAAGTTTACATGGTCTCAATACTAATTTTGACATCTGTGACTTGGGCATGAAGAATAGATGCGGCATGGATGTGGTTGCTGTTTTGCCCTGACCTGTACACACCTCTCGTGATCTCCTGTTCAAACAGCTCCTGCAGCAAAARGGAGGCCAGCACTGATTCCTGCATGCCAGAAAAGGCAATGGGGAAGGTGTGGAGAGCTCTGCCTGAGGACTGTTTTGTTCACCTGCTCTTCCAGCTCATGCACATGTCTTTCTAAAAACAGGTACGACAGCCTGAGCTGGCTCTGTGGCATTACAGTGCCTGCAGCAGTGCTCACCACCAACCCTTGACCCAGGGAATACTTAATTTCCAGACTGGAGCTTCAGTACTTAATTTCTGGCACTAGAGCAAACAATCCCTTGTGCACATTTAGCTGCAGTGATGAGGCCACTGGCCATGGGCTCCTCTTTTCCCCCTGCTCAGCCTGAACCTCCTCTCCATTGTTCCCTGGTGCCTGGTGAACTGGAGCCTTTGAACCCAAGCAATGCACCAGCAACCTTCATACAACACAGCAACCAGCTCTGTTGCTCATACTTGTCTCTCCTATRTGTGCCCAAGTGAGCTGATGCCAAAATCCACAGCATAAGTATAGCAGCACAAGAGCCAGAATCAGTCTCCACCTCAGGTTTACAAACCTTTCCCGTTTGTATTGCTCTGATCTCTTCCCCATGTGCCCAGAGGAAATGGTTGGCCACACTGCCTCTGATAAGCAACTCCCAGGGCACACCTTGTCTGCAGACTCACAGGTTGCACCCCTGTGTGAATTACTGCCCCTCTCAAAACTCCATGATGCACAAAGGGACATCAACATCTCCGAGGGTGCCCAGAGAGAAGATGCTCTTGACAGCATCCCACTGCCTACCCAGCTGAGACCTAGGCAAGCATGATGCTCAGGAAAGGGATCAAGGAGAKGGGAAGTAGCAAGGGCAAGGGGCAAGGAGAGACAGGAGAAAAGGAAAGCACCAGRTACCTCAAATGCTGCCAGTCACTGGGAAGGTGGTGGGAGGAGGTTAATGCTGCTGGTGGAGGTGCTTCMMCTGTGCTCATGAGAAYGGCTGCCTGGCAGGGAGCACTGGGCTGGCAGGGGCCCAGCTGAGGTAGCCCTGCCATGTCCCAGTGCCCTCCTTCCTCACTCCTGGGTGCTGAGGCTTATCTGCTTCCTCTTGGGAAAAGGAAGAAAGGAGAGGAGCCACTGAGAATGTCATGGGCCATAGAGCCTGTGTGTGGGGGTGCAAGGGCGGAAGGCTTGGTTTGCTCTGCACTGACCCCTAKGCTGCAGGACATGGCCAAGAGTTTGTGCTCTGCTGTGGGGCATGAACACGCTCRGGTCTGGAGATTCAGCATTTGTAGCAACCTGCACATTCTTGCAGTCACTTTTCATAATAGGAAGTTAGAGCAACCAGGGGGAAGTGCCAYTGGGTGCTGTTTGCTGGCAGGATGCAGGCTAACAGCAGCATGAGGAGGCATGTGCCAGTCACAGGCAGGGGACACAGACAGAGGGGTGCTGCTGAAGCACCTCAACCCCGCCAGTTAYTTTACTCAAGGTCACAAAGTCCACGGTGATAGGTATGAGTGAGAATAGGACTAAGGGGACACTGGATCCTCGTGTAGTAAGTGGGATCCTAAAAAGTGAATGTACAGAGCTGCCAGCCCTGCAGGACTCTGCCCCTGTCCCAGCAGTTACGGATGAACAGCCAGGCCAGCAGGTCCTTCATCGTCAGCTGCAACCCACCCCACCCAGCCACAAGAAGGTGGGGACAGAGCTCATCCCCTCCAACAAAGCTTTTCCACCCTGCTCCATGGTAACCAACTCCCCATGCCACAGCCAAGGGAGTATGAACTTTCTGCAGCCATCACCTGAACCAGTGCTATGGTTGATGGGAGATGCAGGCAGGTCCCCAGGATCAGGCAGAAGCAGCTGCCAAGGGCTGGAACTTTCCAGGTCTCAGCAGCCAGTTGAGGGAGGTTTGTACCTGYAGCTGGACTGGTCCTTCCAATGCAGGGATGGGAGAAGCCAGCCACAGCAAGATGTTGGTACCAGTGACACCCTCCCTGACAGACTGGTTCTGTGTGGAGGGAGTAGATTWGCACTGCTGATTTGCACAGTCACCCAGACAAGTCCTGTGTTCAGACTCCAGCACCTACAGCCCACCARCGTTGGCATGTGAACTCTGGTGTAAAGCTGGGTAGAGCAGCCTGCCTCAGCCCAGCCCAGCTCCCTTCCAACTCAGCCAGAGACCCTGTGTTGGACAGTTCTCCCCTCTGCSAATGCCCAGGACATAGTCATGGCTTGGCACTGTCACCTCCCAATAGCTGTGTCACTGTGTRTGCCCAGGGCATCAGGCACCTGTTTCATGCCAGGCCACCCCAGCAGTACTGAGGCACCAGGAGATGGCCTCATGCCCCAAATCTCCTGTCCTACAGCATCTCATCCCAGTYACCACTCCTTCCACTCCATCAGCTGCAGCCCCACACAGGGCTCTGATGAAAAGAGGAAATCGATTCCTTCTTCCACAGAACTTTCCAAGACTCAGGMCCTGCAGAAAAGCCAAACCCCTCAGCTGAAGGGGCTCCCCATTTGTGTGACAGAAAGTGACCATGTGTAAGCATGTGACTGCCATGCCTCAGTCCCACCCAGATTCCTCCCTCCTTTTCCTTCACAAGTCAGGAAATACCCTTAAGGTCAAGAGCCAGTGAAGCTGCATGAGTTCAGAAGGATGGTGGTATCCCTGCAGCAGCAGCTGCTCCCAGCAAGCCCAGAGCCACAGCACTGGGTCAGTACTGCCTTCCCTGGAGGAACAGCCCACGCTTCTCCCATTGCACAGGTGGCTGCAGCTGGAAGAGGCATTGCGTGGTCTGGATGTGGAGTGAGCCTGTCATCGTTCCTTCATCAGCACAGCCAGGCCTAAAAATATCGCAGAGTGGGTTGATGGTGGATGTGCTACAGTCTCCATTATGCAGATGGAAATGACTGGCCCCTGCCAGAGTGCCTGGGGTAGCAACAGCTTCTCTGCCCTGTACT